CCCCACCCCTTTCCCACAACAGATTTACCAGCCAGACACTGCTCTCCATGCTGCCAGGATGCATACTGGCAATTGGATTGCTATCGGCCTATATGGCTGGTCAACAATCAGCCACTGGTATAGGCCCAAAAAATCTTTATGATGCACCCCTACAATGGCCCTGTCACATGAAGAGGTACACAGACAGAAAGGGAGGTCACTCCCACCTTACAAGGGCTGCTGGGCTGAGAACCTCAAAGCTGCCCTCAGGATCTGGACTCCCATTTCCCATTCGTTTTACTGGATCTGCATATCCCAAACCCCAAGGCATCTTTGATAATATCATCCTCCATTTACAGTGCCAGGCCCACTTCCATCCAAATCCCAGGAAGCTAAAGGGAGCTGAGGACCCTCAGTTGATTGTAGGACAGAGTGTAGGGTCAGGACCATTGCCTTCAATGGCAGTTGAGGGAACCTCCCAGAACTAGGTTCTGTATGAGCAGTACAAGACAAGGGTCTCCCAGACAGACCTCTTACCAGAGTTGTCCTGTTCTTTCTGATGTATTGACCACTCTCTCTTTCTGCCCCCACTCCCATCTCCATCGTGTAGGTGAAACAGGAGCTAATGGCACAGCTTGACCTGTTCCGTGAACTGACGGGTCACATACCACACCACATGGATGGACACCAGCATGTCCATGTTCTTCCAGGTAGGATGGTGCCCATGTTCCTCTCAGCCCCAACAGATCAAAGATAATTCTGCTCTGAGTAAAGACACCCCCTTCCCTCCCCCCGGCTCAAAGCTTTGTGAATGAAAAGCTACACAAAGCTGTTTGGTCCAGTAATACAGCATCAGATGTTTCCAACCCACCCAATGGGAAATTATCCTTCCTGTGCCAGAATCAGCGGCTGTTGATTCAGCATTTTCCAGTGTCTGATTCCTAGAATGAGACATACCCTCGCTTGGGCTGCAATGTGAATTGTCAGTCTCCCCCTGCTCTTCCCTGCCTGAGCTGCAGGGGAAGTTCAGGCATCTGATTGACCATGTTGAAACTGGTGGGGTCACAGTGGTATCAGGGTAGGTTTTTTCCTTTTTTAAAAAAGTTTTATAAAAATGGGGCATTTGTTTCACCCACATTAGCATCGGGCATCTAGGATGACTGTGCTCAGTGGTGTCATGTGTAGAGGAGTCCCTTCAAGATTTTAGCTGGATCTTTATAGGTGTGACTGGCAGCAGGGTGTCTAATTTCCATTTGGGTATTTGAAAATCCCATTCGTCCACTATTTCCAGTGTCTCTGTAGAGCCCTCATTTCATGGGCTATGTGGGAGTTTAGATTAGATGACCAAAATGGCCCCTTTTCAGCCTTAAATCCCTTGCATCAGTTAGACTCAAGCCATAGGTCATTCTGCAGCTTCCTGCAGCAGCTTTTCTACAGTCAAGTCACAGGGATGGTATTCAGCACACATTCTCTCCATTTGGCCCACAGAGGAGTAAATGTGAAAAAGGGGTATGGGTAGATGTGTGTGTCTGGGACAGAGGTTACAGCATCTCATCTTCCACGCTCTGTCAAAGCCAGGCTGTGGGAGGTCAGGGGTCCATGAAGCAGAAGTGTAGAAGGAGGTGGGAAGATATTTTCTGCTGCAGATTTCCCAGATAGGCCAGTGTAATAGAGATTAATAATGCGGCTTGAAGCAGGGTGGGGGGATTTACTGGT